TTAAAAGCTTCTATTTAAAATCGATTCCGTTCACGTCTGTTAACATTTCTTCAATTCGTTTGAGCTTCAGTGCAGTAATTATAAAAATTATTATTGGTTTTACATTGCTACCGTTTGCTGCTTTCTTAAACGAATCTATTTTAAAAAGTTGTGGCAAACAGTTGCTTCCAACAGCTAACATAAATTATTAAAGCACTTCTTCTGCAATTAATTAGCTTAAAACTTAAATAAAACTTCTCCTCGGATACACTTGTCCTCTTCCTGAAAAAATTTAGCTGCGTATATGCTTAGACGGGTGTGGGTGTGTGTGTGTGTGTGTGTGCACCAAAGAAAATCTGTGCTCATAAAATCATTGAATCAAAATTGAATTTTCACTTTGAATATATTAATATTTAATAATGAACGTAGACTCCGACCCAGACAGAAGACGAGCAAGCGACGTTCTTAACAATTTGGAAATAGAAACAAGAAAAAAAGACGAAATTGTAAATTTCACACTACATAACACAACAGACAACACTATAGAGTATATCCTCGATATGAGTGTGCGTATATGTGTGTTTATGTGGAAAGCGGGAAACGGGAAACGTGAAACGGGGGACGCAAGGTGGGGATTTGTGTGCTTTCCTGTACATATTAAAACTTAGAAATGTAATAAAATATTAATGAAATTCCAAAATAACTGTTGGTAACATCACCATCGACATCGACGGCACAAGCTGAACACCGATACCATCATTATCAGTGTATATAGCAATCACACAACGATCTTTATACTTATATATGTTTATTTATTTATAAACACATATACGCAGAGAGGCAGCAAAAGTAAACTTGGAAAATCTATTGAATACTTTCGTCCTACATTCACATACACACACACACACACACACACACACACACACAGAATCATTCTATATATTTGCACATATATATTTACAGTGTATATGTATATAAGAGCTGACTAACAGGCCTGCAGAGAAACGTGTTATGTTTTATTTTATGGCTTTTTAACATAACATCATATGTAATATATGAGAACAAGTTTTTGTAGAAATCTTTGAAAAACAAACATAAATTGCTTTGCTTTAAAACTCCTCCTCTCGCTGGAAAAGGAAGTTTAGGATTTTCAAGGTTTTAGGTGAACTTCTCAATTTTAATGCGAGGATGAGATGCCTATATTTTCCCAATCGAATCGCACCGTTCACTACAACGAAAACTACAATATTGATTACATTCATTCTCTCCGTATGCGACACGTATGCCATTCCATAACTTTGCACGACATTCTTTCCTTTTCCGATATAATAAACTCATATGGCTACGACTTGGTTTCAATAGCTTCGGAATTATCGGAATTCTTCCAATTCGAATTATATGAAATGGTTAATAGTTGGTCGCGAAAACATAACACCGAGCAATTTAAAGTCCCTCCACCTGGTGGGATTCCAATGCGCAGTAATTAACTGTGCTTTATATGGGAATGCACAAGTCACAAAGAGAGAGACGTAGCACGTTCCAGAGTTTAGCTAGAGATAGTAAATAAATCGAATGAGTTAGTGATATGGAAAGATTTTCATTCATTGCAAGCGGTATTGTGCCTTTGCCCCTTTCTGCTAAGTATAAGTGAGATAGTATCGGTGCCCGATTAATAAGAGAAATATCACATGCGATTTCTAACCGGCCACGTACTAAGCTCGTATTAATAACTTGTTGTCTTGTTATTTGTAAATTCACAAAATTCAGGAATGAGCAAAGACGACAAAGAATGTTGAGTGAATTCTGAACTCAGTAGTGTACGCTGATCAGGCCCCATTTCCCAGTTGCAATTTTCATAACTACAACGGGTTATATGACAGAGTTTTACGCACTTTATTCAAAAGTTTGCGAAGAAAAAAAAAAAAAAAAAAGAAGAAGCAAAGTCAAGCTTATGTTAATTATCTTGTGCTGCTTTTCCAATTAGCATCGCGCCACAAAATTCTGAGAGATATCCTATGTCCTATGTCCTACGTCCAAAGGTTTCTGCCTGTCGACAATTCTCATAGCAAAGACAACTTTAGTAGCAACATTTTAAAAGAATATTCATTGAGAAGCGCGATATACGCGAAATCTGCTTGTGTTTGAAGACCAAAACAAGTGCCGGGAAACGTCAAGTTTGTGAGACGTGACCGTGCTTTAATCAACCAATCGCTACTATCATAGATGTCACGCAGATTTCAATCGATTGGAAGCAGCATTTGCATTTGCGACTCATTATAAAAATCGGACTGAAAACTCCAATGCATATATACCAATCCAATACACTTGTATGCATAAGTTTAATATGTATTGTCGTACACTTTTAGTTATTGAATTATTAAAAAAGGAAAAAAAAAAAATCCATATTTTTTCCCTAATTTTCCGAGTTTTCTTTTCGTATTTCAAAATCTAACTTTGATTACCTGAAATCTACAAAGCTTTTACAATGTTTCAGTAATGCGATATAAACACCAACAACCGTGGCGTTCAAGTGGAATTTTATCTTTGCATTAGATGGTGTTGGTAACGGTGATAGTGATAGTATGTGTTAGTAAATGTTCTTTCTTGAAAAGGCGCAAGCTTTCGTTTTTCCTACTAAGGTAGATGATGCGCCCCTTCCTGCCATTTCCTTAATTCTACAATTCCTCGGTGTTATTAAAATATCATACAAACAGACAATCGAGGCGTCTTTTCTTCCTTTTTCTAAGCCAACAAGCAGCACTAGTACGCTGCCAGCTTTACCTTATGCTTATTTAACAATTTTTCTCATCTTCGTTCGGTATTATAGTGTGCAGTCGAGTTTGTTGGATATTTGTGTGAATGAGTTTATAAAAGCAAGAGTGTTGAGTAAGCATCTCAACAATTTCTAAATGGTATTTTTTCTTTCACATATTTAACAAATTTTTTCTTCCCTTTTCCGTTACTTGCCTACCCCTTGCCCGTATTATTTTCATCATTTCTTTTCATATAATTTTCAATTATGTATTTTATGCTACCACAACTAAAGCCATCAGAATTGTATTTTTTTTTTTTTTTTTTCTCAAGCCATAGATTAAATTTTGTATGTCTGCTATTGCTTGTTGTTGTTGCTGTTGTTGCTGTTGTTGTTGTTGCTAGTACAGGTTGGTTTTCAATTTATAAATTTATACATATATGTGAGCATACGTGTGTGTGTGTGTGTGTGTGTGTGCGTGTGTGCATATATGGTTGTGTACACTTGCTCTACTTTCAGTTTTCTTTTTTTCTTTGTTTCCTTTCTTTCTCTTTCTCTCTCACACCTTTTCAACTAACTGTCTTTTATACCTCAAAGGGGTTATGTTATTGGTTTCCATCACCTTTTTGCGGTTATAAAATATATACGATGAAATTGAAAGTGTTTGAATTGAATTGAGTTTTATAAGTGGTTCTGTTCAGTAAAATGCCACAAACACACACACACACACACACACACACACACACAAAATTACATGTGTTTCGTTGCACATACACCTGTAAAATGTTAAAATGTTCATAATTTTTCTTCTTTTTTATTTTTTTTGTTCTCCGCATCGCGTATATTACTTTTATGCTCTCTATCGACGTTTTCTTGATGCGCTAGTTTGCCTGTGTAGTTGAGTGTGGAATATTTATACACACCTTTCCGTGTGGCCGTGCGTGGATTTTATGGCATTTGAAAAATACTTTGGAAATGTGCTGGAAAAATTCTATGGAAATTATGGCAATTTTAGCGGTTTAAGCCTAAGGGCAGAAACTCTTAGCTTATCTAGTAGCTGCTATGCTTTCCTGGAAATATTTACAGTTGTTTATTGGAAGAATTTTTGTTAGAAGAACTAACTGACTGTGAAATGAAATAGGCGAACATTGCAAACTTGATAAAAAAGATTGAAGCGTTTTGTTTTTTTTTTTTGTGTGTTCTTTGGAAAGCAATTTAAATTTGTTTACCTTTGTTTATGTTTTCTTTTTCTTTTTTTTTTTTTTTTTTGGGGCAAAATATATTAAACGTATTGAAAATGTACTCCTTAAAATAGGAATCAATAAAGTAATTTTTAGAGAGAGAAATTCGGCCGTGTTAAGGATAATCGGTCCTCGAAGGTATTCAAGCTGGGCATTTCAAAAGATATTGTCCTTAATTAGTTTTGCCTTAGCCTAACGCTTTCATGGGCAGTAACAGTTTCATTGAGGTGCAAAAAATGACTGTCAATTTATGTTAAGATTAGTTGTAACATTAAAAATCTGACTACATACATTTGCTAAGTGGAGTTAGAAGATCGTATTTTAATCGACAAATGCCACGAATGCTATAGCATTCACGACAATAAAGTCTAAATTTTTCAGCTGGGATGACTTGAATGCTATAGCATTCATATAAGAGAGAACATGAGTAAAAGGGACAATGAGAGAATCTTTTCTCTCTCTCTCTCTCTCTCTCTCGCTCGCTTCAAGCCGCTTCAAGTAAATTTACAAATACACAGAGAATTTATATATATAAATTAATATGGAAAAACCTAAAGAATCAGTTAAACAAGCGACGTAATTAAAAAAAGTCCAGAGTGATGTAGGAATGAAATTGAATGAATAATTGCCGTTACAATATGAATGACATTGACACCCGCGAACGTGTTACGGTAGAATTCATGCACTCTTGCGTAAACCCAATTACCCAATAGGTGCGGACAGAAGGCTGTATACGATAATTCTTATCTCTAAGTGCTACGTGAAGTTTCCTCATCAAGAGTTTTGTTTCAAGCTTCCCTTCATCATTGAGTTAATTTGATCGATAGTCGTTGACTTAAGGTGTCAGACCGAAGCTGAATAGATTTGTTCGTGTTTGAAATGTAATCGTTTCTCGTTGCGAATTTATTCATAAATTCAAGTTTAATTAAAAAAATTTTAAGTTAGAATAAATTATTCCTCGACAATAACAATGATAATAATAATAATAATAATAATAATAATAATAAATTTACATTAATTTCCCATTAAGAGCCTTACTAATAATTTAATTTTTTCTCTATTTTCTTTTTCGCTGTCTTTTCGTTTTTTATTCTTCAGTTTTATTAGTAAACGGCGAAGTGATTCACTTGATTAAATCAGTAACCAAATGAGTACGTGTTAAGAATGGTTGATTAACAATCAACGGCTAGCGTAACAGCTATGAAAACAGGCTATTAAAAGAGTCTTTATTTTATTAGTTTTAAATTTCGTCACACCAACAACAACAATCGCTCTATGTGCGCGTAATAATTTTGTTATTCCATTTGCAACACTTATAGGCAGCGCTTAATGGCCCCTCACAAGCATTTTCAATCAGTGTAAAATTTCGACTCGATTCAAATTTACTTATTTGTCCATTTTTTTTTTTTTATAAATGACTGGTTTGTTGTTGATGGAATACTTACATCTGTGGAATTTGAATTTTTTCTTTTTATATTTTTAATAAATGGGGCGTTGATTTCGTCTTTCCCTATTCTCAAGGTCGGAAAAATTTATATAAAATAACCTATACGTTGTTTATCGAATTGAAGAATCGATGCAAAAGGCCCGAAAATTATTCAAAAGCAAAATTAATCTCAAAAAATAACGAAAAATTTCTACATACTGTGTTTACACCTGGAATGCCAAGTGCAATTTTCAAAGTTGAACGTGTCTCGAAATACTTAATTGGTTTATTGCTAAAGTTATGTCTAGTCTTAGTAGACGAAATAAAAGTCTTTAAGAAATAATAAAAAAAAAAAAAAAAAACTTTTAATAAAAACCGTGAAAATATTTACTTTGTATGGAATAACAAGTTAATCGCCTAAAATAAAACAAAATAAAAAAGTTTCTTAAAAGACATGAACCAAATTTCATTGACCCTCTATCGCAGCGACCAGAAGTGCTTCGTCGTATGGTAGAAAAACCGAAAATGTTACACTGAACTCAAGGAAGAGAAAGAGAAAAATCAATATTACATAAATATTACAATTTCTTGGGTATTAAACGAACAAGCAAAACAACACAACAAAAAAACTTTTGTTTAGTTGAAAAAAAAGTCTTCGACTAAGAAGTAATACTTAACTAGAATCGTCGAATGGCGAGAAGGAGACCAAAAAACCAAAACGCACACAAGCACACAAGCGTTCACAAACACGGCACAGGCACGGTATTGGTATTAATAATAGCCGTTATTGGGGTAAAACAATAACAATAAAATATCCTAAGTTATGTTTAGACATTTAGTTTAGTTCCAAGTTTATTACGTGCCAAATCTAGCTGGAGTATTATCATAATAGTCTTGGTGTCGTTGTTGCTTTTTTTTTTTTGGCGAAGCTGTTAAAAACACTATAAAATAGTGGCACATAAAATATAGAGCTGCATTCATTATGTAAGAAAGAAGAAGAAGAAGAAGAAGAAGAAGAAAAAAAAAAAAAAAGAATGACAAACGTACAGACAGCCTTAGCGGCCCCCAAACCCACTTATTTATTTTTCATATTTCAGACGGGGCGAAGCAGAAAAAGTGTTTTGTTATGTTTAAACGCGTGCGAATTGCCAAGAACATGTGCCAATCTCTGTTACATTGGTACTGATATACGGTCGTTAGAATTGTGCCGTCGCACACATTAGATTCTTAATAAACCAGCAATACAAGCACTTACGTATATTATGTTAAATTTTCTAACAAATATTGAGCCTAACAATAGACATAACCTTAGTTGGTCAGTTAGTCAGTGCTAAGCACCGATTTTTATAAAAATAAAACGAGAAAATGAAATGCTTTTGGATGAGTTACAATATCTGATAGGCTCAATACTTTTTTAATTGATCTTATACGTACAGCCAAGCAGTAAGTATAATATAGGTCTTTGCTGCAATATATAAATGTTTGTCATAAATGTTTTATGCTCCGATACATTCTTCTCTCACTCCTGTTGGGTTTTTTCTTACTTTAGATTTATTTTGGTTTTTTTTCTTTTTTTTTTCTTTTTCACATTTTTGTATTATTTTGTAATGTTTTCCCAAGATTTTTCGTCCAAGTGTAGCTATGAATTACTTGCTCACTTACTTGAGGAATTTTCCCTTTCACGTTTTCTTAGTGATTTCTACACATCACGTCTTTATGTTCTTGTTACTCTCTAAGATAGATTTCGTTTTTCTTTTTTTCTGCTCAAAGAAGACGTGACAAAAATTTCAGACCACACTCGCACTAAGTACAGCTTAGAATGTGTCATCAGCAGTAAAGTTTTTTTGACAAATTGTTTGAAAAAGTTTGTAGCAACAAAACGATGAAGACGACTCTAATATGTCTCTTGTTCGTTTTTGACTTTGCTTTACGCTTAAAATTTAAATAAATAATAATAAAATAAATTATATAAAATATCTTCTATAATTAAATTTTTATTTTAATGAACTAAACAGTGGAAAATAAATGTTTCCCCAAAGTTACTATTATTTGACTTTATTTGAGGCGTTCGAAGTAAAATCGAGTTTCATCTTCTTTTATATAATTAATTTTTTAATCTTTCTTTTATATAATTAACTTTTTGCTATTTAAACAATTACAATCTAACTTATCGCCTTAGAATGTCGGATTCCACTCTCGAAGTCCTGTTATTTCTTATCTGTATCGAGGTATGGTTAACAAAAAGATAGCCTTGAATAATATTTAAATATTGTCCATCCAACATTGTATGGGCGTCACTGGATAGAAGAAAGTGCCCGTCAGGACACTAGGTTATATACAAGTGTATAATAAAGTAATGGGAGATTGGAATTTCTTTTTATACACCCATCAATTAAGTGCAAAATATATAAGCATTGTTTACATTTATTGGACTTCAACTAGGCGGTTCTATGTGCACTTGATTTGTCAACTTCTGTACAAAAATCGAAAGAAGATTTACACGATTTATTCAGAATCACTTTCTGAACCAACTCAAGCTTGTCTATTCGTCCGTTTATTTAATGTCTCTTCATTTGCTTTTGTGTTCAATCTACAGATTACAATTTCTAAAATATTTTGAAAAAATTTTGTATACGTATCCGATTTAGCTCGAGAGTTTACTAATCCTGCGGAAAAGCAATTCGATCGGATATACTAATTTCTGGAATCTCCTCGATCCATAAAACCTTTCGCATGACAAAAAGCTCTAATTTATATTATTTATGAATGAAACCTCATTGGCTGCAGATATTTTGAATCCCATCCAAAGACTCTCTTGAAAGGAAGCCTTTATATGGAAATCTTAGTTTTTAATGCATTATGACACAAATAGGTAAGAAATAAAATGATCTTTGATAAGAAAATTCATTTTGATAAATTTAAATCACGTGAGTTCTTCTCGCCCAAAAACTCCTATAAAAAATATGCCTTTGGATACAGTGGACATCATTAATATATTTCATCATGAAACTATATAAAGAATTAGACGAAGACGTTAAATCGTTATTTGTCAAAATAGTGACGCAACAAATACTCAAAATAACAAAAATATTCCGTAACACAAATGTAACGGACCGGAATTTATTATTTAGTAGGAGACACGATTTTTTATTGTATAACTTTTATTAATTAATTTCAGGTCTGGCCACATCGTGCAAGCATACCAATCTTCTTTACATTCTAAATAAATCTTAACGGGGTTACCTTCATTCTTAAAACTATTATTAATTCCCATAAAGGGATTTGGAAGAGGGAAAAATCTTCAATGTATGGAATCATTTTTGAAAACATGAAGAGAAAATGTGCAAAAAAATTTCGGAAGATATTTCATCGTCAGCAGATTTAACAAAATCGATTCGAAAGATTTTCTTTTTCAGGATTGCTCGCTCATAAAATATGTTTAAAAAATAACTGCAGTTACATAAACAAAGTAATTTTTCTTTTAAGTAATATTCAATTAACTGAACGGTAGTGTAAAATGATGACTTTGCTTATACAACAGAGTTCAGCTAATTCAAAATTTTCATTTGCTTAGATGAATTGAGTTAAACGAAGACCTCTGACCCGACATAAAGTCAATATAAGCCAATCGTACATAAAATGTATCTGATATATTCGGTCTTTGCCGAATTAAAGTTGTTTTCAGCTGTCGATTAATGTCAAAATTCATGATATCTCGCATTTACATATCCTTATCAGAATCCATGAAATGAGGTTCTTTGCCCCCAATGGTTGAACCTTCCAAGATCGGAAAATTCTACATACAAAATTTATAAATGCCGTGTATTTACACTTGTGGCATTTACACTCACTTCGCAAATCTGTGCTCTCGACTGGTCGTACCCGCACAAAAGATCTCTTGCGATTAAACCAAAATTGCGAATGCAAACGCAACTGACGACATATCTTGGCAACATACAAGGAGTCTTGTATAGAGAGTGTATATATTGTATGAAGCATGCAAGAAAGTTTTGGTGTTTTTTAAATGATTCTGAATCTGACAAATTTTCATTTATTGTAATAAATTTATTTCTATTATGAAACCAGGATGAACGTTCAGGGGCTGTGTAGATGCACTGGTTACTTTAGTAATTGTGCGCATATTTCTACGCATACGATTCCTACTCTCAAGTTTTTTCACTTTTAACTTTTTCGCTTTCAATTAGCCCTGACAAATTTCAATAATAAAAGTGACTTGGGCGGATATTTACAAACATACCTGTGGTATGAGTATGCAACAAACTGTTCTTGTCGTTTCTAAGACCCGATCGCTGATCGGCTAATTCTAATCCTAACTCGAATCAGCCATTGTTGCATTTTTATTTGTGTACTCGTCCGTTCGTCTGTCCACCCGTCTGTCTGCCTCCCTGCGACCCTGTTATGTCGCATTTTCTGGCGACAAAGGTTTTCTTGTTTTCTTATGATTCCATTTCCATGGAATTTCGCGTTGAACGTTTATTCTATCGATATTTCCCCTTGGGTTCTTAACAGAAATACTCTACGGGTACCGATCTCTGGAGGCCTCCGACATTTGGGTGCGGCGCTTTGCGTAGGTAGCTACGATTAAGTATAACAGAAGGATATAGAAGAGGCACAATATGTCTGACTATGAAGTTATTGAGCCAGTGGTGTTTGATCCAAAAAGTGCAAAGATTCGGTTTGAGCACAAAGCCAATATGTTAGGGATGACCATCCATAGCCAGATCAATGGCTGTGACGCTAACTGGGACTTGCGCAGTGATGAATTCACAATACCATGTAGCGTTAAGCTTTACGCAGGCAGGTGTACGCATTAACGTGTATAGATATATTTGCCATTTTATCGTCTATTGCTCAAAAACTGAGGTAAAAAACTAAGCTGTACACCCAACTAAGTGCAGCAGAGTGAACTCGACCAATTTGCAATAAGCCCATTACTTGCATAACTATGGCATATATTGGTTTATATTATTTTCCTCTAAAGTTATCTGAAAGTCCAGTGAGAGAATGGACCCGATCGCCGAAGAAAATCAATAAATCCTTTTTTTGTTGTTGGGTTCTCTTCTATTGGCGATAATAGGGAACGAACATTTGCTATAAGGTATACGTAACGAATTTTCATACTTGTTAACCGATTAATATTTTTTGCCGAAAAATTTTGATTCTTTCGCTTCTGGTCTTTCGCTTTGTTTGCTTTTATTTACTTAAATTTTCTTTCCGATACCAATTACCTTGACTGAGTGAATTGAAATGCAAGAAGTGTAACATCTTTAGTACATACCTGTAAGAAAAAAGAAGAGAAAGCATAAAAGTTAAAGTGAAACTTGTGTTTACTTCTATTATTCATTAGATTTTTATTAAAATTTTTTTTATTTAAGGAATTTCTGTTTTTTACGTCTACCCGATCGTGACTAAAAGGGAAATTCAAAAAAACTCTTCTTTTCCTATATTTCAACTTTTGGAAGGCTTCGGGTAAGAATAATAATTTTTACTTTAAACGAGATATACGATGTGCACGTCAACTGTTTTCGGAGTTAACTTTTTAATTAAAGCTTTAATAATATATACTTTATTAATAAAAAAAAAAAAAATGAAAAAAAAAACGCTATTATATTAATAGAAACTAATGAATGAATAAATTAATTAGTTCGGTAATAAAGAAAAAATTAAAACAAAATCATAAAAACATTATTGTGTTTATTATATGACCAATAAAAAAAAAAAACAAAAAAAAAGGGGAAAAAAGGCTGCAAGTGTTTGTGTGTATATGGGTGCGTTTAAGGCAATCTGTCACACTTCGATATCCAGCATTATTATTGATATATTCGTCGTCCAAGGATAGCCGTAGTCTATAACTAACTGTGAAATCATCCGGCCTTCTTTTCCTTTAGTCTGTGAACGATTTTAATATTTGATAACATTTTAGTTGTCAGTGAGCTGACCTTTAATGATATTCACCAATAAGCGGGATGAAGTAACGCATGCATTATGTCTGCTAAAAGTTGCATTAAAAATGGTAGTTCACTATAGTTGATGGAAGTCTACACTCAAAACAAACTCAAGGTATCCCATAAAATATATAGGTATATAGGTATATTAAGTTCGTGCGAATGTATGGAACATCCAGAGGGACTTGAGTTATACCGATCATTTCAGAATCGTTTGTCGAGCTTACCACCGTCCGTCTTACCGCCTATCAGTTTTGTGTTTTTGTGTTCAACTTACAAGTTGAAATTTTACTCATATTTTGATAAAAAGTGGTTCATCTGCATATTTTGAGCAAAGGACGAACGCTAGTAAAGACGGTTCCGATGGCCTCACTTTTTTGCCCACTTTCCGTAAAACACCTTATATAAATAACTGTATTAAGCGGAGGGGTTAGGCTATTTAATGGCGGGCCGTGTTTTTATTGCTTTTGGTTTTAAATTTAAAAGGTTTTAGTCAAATTTCTTTAATGATATGAGTAAACGCAACAGTAAATGTTTCTTCTTAAATTAACAACAAAATATTCTTAAATTAAAGCGGAATAGACGCTATGGATCCACAGTAATTCGACTCTAGATATTTAGCAGTCTAAACGATTGGATAGCTAGAGATAGTAGACCTTTTCACTGTGTGCCCTATCAACTTGTGATGGTGCAATTTACGAATGGATTGCAGGGATTTCGAGGTAACCTTTGCAGTTATGGTTTAATAATCTTGGCTTAATAAACACGTAAATGTATCTGTGCAAGTGAATAAATAAACCTTTGACTTGACCCCTACAATTTAGTATTCCTGAGAATTTGCCTTTTGTATGCGTACCTCACACAATACTCTTACGTTTTTAATAGGGTAGGCTAGTGTGCCGAGCGTTGCGAGAGGCAGAAGAAAGTGGAGCTCAGCTAGCGATTAAGATCTCGAAGAATATGATTTGTATGCTGTAATCAAAATTATTAGAAACTCTTTTTAAGAGAAAAAATGAAATATTTTTTATTATTTTCTTCTTCACAAACAAAAATGTTATCATTACAGGAAATACATACAAACACGTTCACACTCATCCATAGACTTACACACACATATATATATATATCTATATATACGCTATAAATGCTTGTGCATACATTCAATAAATATGGAGACACAAAGTGTAACGATAACGAGAGTAACAACAACAACAACAATAACAACAACAATAACGAAACAATAACTAGACGATAGAAGAAAAATCGAAACTAATGTTCTACTTTTTTTTCTTCATTTTTTTAGAGCATTTTTAAGCTTGCTTGTTTTTGTTTTTGTTACCGGGAAACCGCGGAAATATGGAAAAAGTATTTCTTTTAGCACACACATGCGAGTACACAACAAAAATGCGCCAAAATGATTTTCAACTTTAATGGGCGGGGGTAATAAAAATGCAGTATTTCCAGTATTTTGTTTTTATTATTGTTATTGTTGTTTTGCTTTGTGCGGCACGCGTTCATACTACATTCTTTCTTTGGTTCCTTTTTAACGGAAATATAAGAGATTTGTTACAGTTTTATTTGTTTTTTTTTTTTTTTAAAAACTAAAAAAATTTGCCAAAAAAATAAAAAAACTGAATCGAAATGAAAATTTTAATGGCTCTTTATATATAGAGGATATGGTGTATATATGCGGTTTATGGAAAACGAGGTCATCAATTTTTTTACCGTTTTGTTTTTTTTTTTTTCTTGTTTTTGCAAGAGGGTGAGAGAAGTGCGCCAACGTAAAATCAAGGCGAAATTCGATTTAGAATTATTCTGCTGCATTGGCAGCAAGCAGAGGGCGCAAGCTTCTTTCAATCATAATTTAGGCTTTTAGGCAATTTAGAAATTCCATATTCCTTATTTGCTTTCGACCGCTTTGATATCGAGAAGAAATAACAAGAACACAGGATGTAAACACTTGGGTTTACTCTTTTCTGATACGCGAGGCGCCTTTAAATGCTTTTCTTATTTGTACGTTTTTTTTTTATTTTTCATTTATTTATTACAGATTAGCTAGAAATTCTTGAAATCCCTGAGCTCAGCTTATCTTACAGGAAATTCATATTAATTCAGTTCTTGTTTTTTTTTTTTTTTTTTTTTTGTTTTTTATTACATTTAAACAATTATTTAAGTGAGCGAACAGGGCAGACCGTTAAATAGAAAAGAAAGAAGAAAAAAAAAAAAGAAAGAAAACGCAGAAGTCTACGGTTTTCATCTTGGAACAAAAGCAACGAATGCTTAGAAAAATCACGATAAATAAGTGGAACGAAAAGTGTATGCGTTGAAGTACTACAGCGTAAAATAAAACAAATAAAGAAACCCCCGCTATGATAAAACCAATAAGGCTTTGTACAATCAAGCGAGAATTTTAACAAGAGATGACATACAAAAAATCGAACGTATATCAAGAAATGTGTATTGTGTACGCCAAAGAAACCCCGGTTGGATATATCGAGGTTCTATCCATAATACTTTAGCAAAGATGCACAACTATTGTAACGAAAATCGCAGAACGATTGCCAACGCTAGGCACCTTAGTTGAATGTGTGTAATCAGGGAATTTTGGGCATATGATTGACATTTGTAGTCATCAAGCAGCGGTCAGAGCGATTTCAAATCTTAATCTAGGCGACATCACCGGCAGTTCACTAACTACACTAAAGAGCATTTTCGACGGTTATTGACCAGGTACTGCCAGTCAGATGTCCAAAAAGTCCAATCGAATAAAATGATTAACAATAAAAATCTGTTGTTTTGTTAGGACAGTTGATTCTATTTGGAAGCGTAAAATTATCATCCGCTAGATATCTGGTGGCGTTATAGTTGGTGGGAGACGAGCGCACACTCAACGCACCGGGCGTGGTAAGCCACCGATTGTTAGACGGAGAGATGTATATGCACGTAAAAGCGAAGCCAATCTAAGACTCACACTACGGCCCTTTTCACGCGATTTTGTCCAAACAGATACCACTGAACCCTCGCTATGGGCCGACAATAAAGTCGCGGCTTCTTTACAACTACTGAACTCATCCGGAATGCCGAACTCATTTGAATGTGATGGTGGTGATGCTTGATTCAATTGTGTCGTGCAATGAAATGGACTCAGGCCGCATTCTGCTTCCTGAGAAAGAGATCGGCCAATGTTCACTTTTGCTTTATACAACTACTTTCCCTTAAAGAACGTAATATGTGCCCAATTAGCTTGGTTTTTCAGTTCATAATAGGAAAGAAATAAATTAATGCCTTGCCTCCATAGATTAGTGTGAATCTCGAAAGAGCAGCAATCGCAGGATACAATGTCTTCAGCGAGCATGCTAGAAGAACATGTTTAGACTAAGAGAACTGAGAAACAGTTCAGACAAACTCGGACTATCTCTCAAACCGCTTTCTTATCATCCTATTTTTACGATAAGATAAGGCAAGCTACGATATAGAGCTTCTTTAGATAGGCTTGAAAGTGTCTCTTACTATCTGTAGGATAGTTGCTTGTTCTCCTGTTTCACATTTAAGCACTACCAGATATATATATTACAACTGCAATCGTCCCCTTTTGGCTTAAGTGAGTTTCGACGCAAGGCGGAGCACATCGTTAAGTTAACCTAATCAAATTAATCGAAATTGACGTTACTGCACCATATTAAGTAAAATCCTTTGTTCCTCTTCTTTAAATGCAAAACTTTAAAGGACCGCTAATGAGAACTAATGCGATGACTAGACCTGAATAGATACCAATCAAAATTGGGCAATTCCTAAACAAGAAGGAAATTACAGTATAGTTAACCATCTTCTTACCATTCTCTTTCAAAATTAGGGACATTTCATTACTTAGACTTTAAACAATTGGCGCCAACAGCTTGCCAGTTAATACGATGCTATAGTAACTAGGCGAGTAAGAAAATCCTCGCGTGCTTTACGCGTCTAATGTAATTCAAATAAAGATAGCAAAGTATGTAAAAAAAAAAAGAAGAAAAAAAGAAAAAAACAGGAATACATGAAAAATTTCGCACTTTTTCCTTATGGTTGAAAGTTTGAAAAAGACCGTGACCAAGCCTTACGTTTAGTTTCACAAAAGAGCCTATGTTCGTCGGGTATACTTTTTTTTGTTTTGGTTTGAAGTCATATTGTTGGAGGCATTAAATTACACTAACACCTATTTTTTTATTTTTTTATTTTTTTTTTTCATTTTTAATTCTCCGCCAAAACTGTACTAACAATAGTGATAATGTTCCCTTCAAAAAAAATTTTTAGGGAAAGAAGATTCCAAAAAACGAAGAAAAAAATTTATTTTCAT